CAGGGCGCTCAGGGAGGGCCTTGTCGAGAAGGTGGCATTTGAGCTAAGCCCTGAAGGACAATGAGGAGAACACAGTCATGAGAAGAGCTGCGAGGAGACCGCCAAGCGCGAAGGCCCTGAGGCAGCAGTGCGCGGCCTGCGGGAGGCTGTGCGCCTGGGGCACCGCCAGGCTGAGCCCAGACGACTCCGCAGGCCCAGGACCTGGGCTTGGAGTCCCGTCCTGGATGTCCTGGGGGGTTTTAAACAGAGGAGTTAAGGGATCAGATTAATATTTTAAATGGTTTCTGTGAGGCACATGAAAAGTGTTCTGCAGGGAGGCAGGAGTGGACGCAAGGAGAGTGTAAGGAGAGACCCAGGCGGCGGCCCAGGCCAGAGAGGGCAGGGCTCGCCCGGCCTGGAGGCAGTGCGTGGGGTGGGGAGTGGGCAGATTCAAGGCATTTTAGGAACAGAAAAGCAGGATTGGGAACTCCTGCTTGTTCAGCCCCATTGCGATGTCCCCAGAGGCTGACCTGGAAGGGTCGTGGGTAGGCCCGGGGGTGTCCTTAGTCACCCAACTGGAAGACGCGGAGGGCGGTGGGAAGGGGCGCTGTGACTGGCAGGGTCGTTCTGGGCCAGGCTCTGGGCCAGGGCTCTAAGGCAGCTAAGACCGTGCCCGGCACTTTGGGAGGGTCCGTTTGTCACCAGAAAGGGACAGGGCCTGGAGCAGGGCTGCCTCGGGCCAGTCTGCAGTGTGTGGGTTCCTGACTTTGTGCATGAAAGATTTCACAACACCAGCCCAGGTGATTTTTTTAAAAAAGGTTTTATTTATTTATTTTTAGAGAGAGGGGAAGGGAGGAAGAAAGAGAGGGAGAGAAACATCAGTTAGTTGCCTCTCGAACACCCCCAACCGGGGACCTGGCCCACAACTCAGGTATGTGCACTGGGTTGGGACTTGAACCGGTGACCTTTCAGTTCACAGACCAGCACTCAACCCACTGAGCCACTCCAGCCAGGGCCCAGAGTATGTTTATTAAATCAACAGGAAGGAGCCTAGACAGGGCTGTTTTGGCTCCCCAGGAAAGTTACAGGAAAGAAGTGAACCACGCGAGGTGCTGTGGACTCACTGAGAAGTAAAAGTCACAGTGACAGAAATGTGCCAAGCGGGGGCGCTGCCAGCTCACTGAGGAGTAGAGAAAAAAGGGCCCTGCAGACAGGTTCGGGGTCAGTCAGAGAGGAGCGGCCGCTGCCCGCTGCTCCCCTGGGTGCAAATCTCATGGGGGCCTTTAGAATTTAGGAGAGGTTTCACGCTGGAGAAAGAGAAGGCATGTGCCAGAGAGAAAGCCGCGCTGGCACCCCTTGTTTTGAGGGGCTTTATCTCTTTTCTGCGACACAGTCTCTGGGAGGTCTCAGCAGAATTCCATCGGCTTCCCAGGTGTGCTCTTGAATAGGCTGGTGCATCAGTGTGAGCGCACGGAGGGACCAGGGTCGCTTCCTGGTCAGCCTGACTTCTGTCTTGGATTTGTTTGGTTCTCACTGGGTTTTTGTTATTTGTTCCCCTGCCCCAACCCATCCCTGGGTCTGGCTGGCACTAATGGCACTAACTGGGTCTCCGTTCTCTGTCTCCCTGACCAGGGCGATGTAAGCCATTCACTCTCTGGTTAGGGGAGAGAGGTGTAAACCATTTGCTCTCAAGTGTCCTTGGTTAAGGACGATAAGACCTTGCGATTTACCAGCTGGCTGTCAATGGCTCAAATTGTTTGCCCCATTTGTCTGACCATCTGTCTCAGTTTCCCTTTTCCCACTTGTCAAAATTTAGCCTAACATCTAACAATCCTGCCCTACTTTCTCCATTTTTCTTCATCAAATCTAGATGTACAGTCTCTCCCCAAGCCTGGCCGCCTTCCGGTGCTTCCTCTGTCCAAAGTCCTCCTCCTCTTGGGGGTGGTATTACGTCCCCATCCTTGAATGTGGGCCCTGGGGCTCAACAAGATGCTGTGCTGGTTTGGGGCCCAGGCCCTAAGAAACTAGCAGCCTCTGTCCTGACTGGTGTGGCTCAGTGGATTGGGGGTGGCCCCACCAACCTAAAGAGCGCTGGGTTCGGTCCCCTATTGGGGCGCAGGTCTGGGTTGCAGGACGCGGTGGTTCCCGGTGAGGGGTATTCGAAAGGCAACTGATGTATGTTTCCCTTCCTCTCTTTCTCCCTCCCTTCCCTTCTCTCTAAAAATGAATAAATAAATAAATAAAATCATAAAAAAAGAAAGAAGCCCTGGCTGGTGTGGCTCAGTGGACTGAGCACTGGCCTGCGAACCAAAGGATCACTGGTTCAGTCCCCAGTCAGGGCACATACCTGGGTTGCGGGCCAGGTGCCCAGTAAGGGGCGTGCAAGAGGCAACCACACGTTGATGTTTTTCTCCCTCTCTTTCTCTCTCCCTTCCCCACATCTCTAAAAATAAATAAATAAAACCTTTAAAAAAGAAAAAGAAACTGGCAGCTTCTGTTTCCCATCACTTGGGACTCTTGTTCTGGGAACCCAGCCACTGTGAGGAAGTGAGTCAGCCACGTGGAGCGGCCACGTAGAGCTGTCCCAGCCAACACCTCAGCCGAGGCTGAGCATCAGCGGCCCGCTGGGAGTGAGCCGAGGCTCGCAGCCCGGGACTGTGAGCCACCCCAGCCGGCAGTGCTCTGGAGCAGACGAACTCACCCTCCCGGGTCCCACCCAAATCGCAGATCTGTGGGCGAAAGAGGTGATCAGTGTTGTTCTCAGCCACTCAGCTTAGAGGGTTTGTCGTGCAGCAGTAGGTTGCTGGGACACCATGCCCCGCCTGTCCATCACCAAATGCCACGGAGTCTTCCTTTAAGTACCTCTGAAACCCACCGTCTTCTCCCCGTCTTCCGCCCCCCGGGCAGCCACGCCAGCACCCTGCTGGGATCTTGCCCCACTTGCTCTTGCTGCCACAGAGGCTCATACATAGCAACCCAGAGAACTTGCTGGGCAGCCCATGGGATTACCTGCCCAGCCCGCCTGTGCCCACTTAAGCACTCAGTGGCTCCCCACTTTCCTAGGATCGAGGCTCACGCCCTTTCCCCACTTGGGCTTCCCCGCACCGGCCTTTCTTCTCTTCTTCCAGTGCCCGTGTCCCCTCCGCCCCGCAGCCTTTGCACAGGCTGCACCACCCCGAGATGTCCTCCTCCGCTACCGAGTTCACTCTCGCTCACGCCTTAGCTCTCGGCTCAAATGTCACCCCTTTGGTGAACTGCCTCTAAGCTAGTGGTTCTCCGAACGGGGCCCCTGACCAGCACCATCAGGGAATTTGGGCGAAATGCTAATTCTCACGCCCGAGCCCCGTGCTAAGGAATCGGAAGTTCTAGCCAGGGCCCCATGGTCTGTTGAACGAGCCCTGCAGGTATCTCTGACGCTTGCGCATGAGAACTGCGATAAAGCTCCAGTTCAGGTGTGTGGGCTTGACGCTCTCCACCTGCAAATCCCCTTCCTTGGGAGACCCGTGGCCTGCGTGAGATGGTGGGACCGCCGGCTTGCTCCTCACCGCCCCCTGCCACGCGACCCCACGCCGGGCGCTCGCCGAGCGCTTCAGAAAACAGCCAGCCTCCAGGTGGCACTGAGCTTCCCTGGATGTGGGGGAGGGGAAGGGACTGGTCCCCTTAGAGATCTGGGCCCCTACAAGTCGACGGGGGAGGGAGAGAAACCTTAAGAAACTTAGGGAGGCATCAGCCTCTGCAGAAAAGGGTGCTGTTCAGAGGCCTGGGAAAGGCTATTCACTCGGAGTCAGAGCTCACCCTCCCGCCCCCTTCCTTTCCCAGTCCTTCCCCGCCCCACCCCCAGGGGTGGCCCAGGTGATTTCTTTCTTTCTTTAAAATTTTTATTTATTGATTTTTTAGAGAGGAAAGGGGAGAGGAGGGAAACAAGGGGAGAGGAGGGAAACAAGGAGAGAGGAACAGTGATTTGTCATTCCCCTTATTGGTGTATCCACTGGTGGATTCTTGCCTGTGCCCTGACAAGGGGATCAAGCCCGGGGCCTGGGCGTATCAGGACGATGCTCTCACCAAATGAGCTACCTGAGCACAGCCGCCCTCAGGTGGCTTCTGTTCACTTCTGAGTGAGGCTGTCTATGGGCTTTTCGTGTTTTATATCATTTAATACAATATGCTTCCGAGTTGTGTATCATCAACCTTCCCGTTTTACAGATGGGGAAATCGACTCCGGGACGTTCGGTGACTTGGCTGAGGTCCAGGCAGGGAGGATTCGAACCCCAGTTGTGTGGCACCGCCCCCTGCCGTCCAAGCCCAGGCGGAGGACACTGGGACAGGCCGGGGGGCGTGGGGGAGGGTGGCGGGCCGGCGGGGCTGCTGGAGCCTCCGCTGCCCTTCCAAAGGGCGGCGGCAGCGGCAGCCGGTGGTTGGGCGGCGCGGCGGGCGCAGCGGGCGGGGTTGACCTTCCCAAGTTTTCAAGAGAAACCGAAACTGTGGATTTTTAATACAATCACCCTGTTTCTGAATGATTACATTTAAAATAAACTCAGGTGCTTCCAGAGACCAGAGAAGTGCTTGTGTTAGAGGATATCGGTGGCCATATCGAGGAGAGGGTGGCAGCAGAGACAATCGAGGGGACACCTGGCTTCCTCGCCGCAGCTGTGTCAGACTCACTGCCTCCGGGGGCTCCGGGACGGCCTGCTTTAAATTCAGGCACCCCCTACCCCCGCGCCACCCGCGCCGCGGATCTCCGGTTTCCCAAAGGGCAGATCCCTAGCGCTGACCCTTACCTTCCTGTCTCAGATCCCCCCCGCCGCGCCCCCCCCCCCCCGCCACTTGGCCAGCATGATGTGGGCGGGGCCCAGTCTGGCCGGTTACACCTGACCCCACCCCAAGCCTGCAGGCTTGCAGAAGGTGCTCGCTGAGGGGGAAGGAACAGTGTAAGCCCTTCTCCCCGGGAGCACGTCCATGCTGGCTCCTCCCTCTCCCCAGCCGCGGGCAGGCGGGGGCGGGGTGCGGGCGGGGCGCTGGTGGGTTAAAAGCCAGCAGCTGGGGGCCCTTGGATGGCCTGTCCCTCTCGGAGCCCGAACTGCTGCAGCATGGCTACCGCATGCCCGGTGAGTCCGCCTGCCGGCCCGCCCGCAGCAGGGACGGGACGGGGGTCTCTGGGGCTGCCGGGGCTGGGCCTGGCAGTCCACCTCGACTCCTTTCTTTGGTCAGGATGGAGAGGCTGAGGGTGAGATCCTAAAGTTGGAGGAGGAGAAAGAGGAAGAGGAAGAGGAGGCAGCAGCAGCAGCAGCAGCAGCAGCAGCGGAAGCGTCAATGAAAGGGGAGGCTCTGCACTCTCTCCCGGGCCTGCGGTCCCGTAGGAGGAAGGCCCGGGATGGGGGTCCGGAGGAGGCCAAGCAGGAGTTGCACCCTCTGCAGAGCAGGTAGGGCAGGCCCCTGCTCTGCGGCCTTGGCCAACCCCTTCAGCTCTCTGCCCAGTTTCTCACTGCGGAGGGCCGGAGCCGGCCTAAGACTTGTCCCAACTAGGTTAAGGCAGGGAGGGGTTCTGGTTTAAATGCCTCCACTTCTCCGGTCCCCTGGCCCTTCATGGTAACTGACTGCAGTCACCTTCAGGGGGGCGCTGTATCCCAAATCCTGCCCCCGGTTTGTCCTTTCAGGGGCCAGACCGCCCGCCAGCCCAGGTGCTGCTGGGGGGCGGGGCACAGGGGCTCTCTCCTTCCTCTTGGTCACCCCTCCCCGCAGGTGGGCTCTGTGGTTCTTCAAGAACGACCGCGGCCGGGCCTGGCAGGATAACCTGCATCTGGTCACCAAGTTTGACACAGTGGAGGACTTCTGGGCGTGAGTGTCCACCTTTCTGGAAGAGGCTGAGGCGGGGGGCTCTGAGCTCGGGACCACCCCGGACCCCACCCCTCCGGAGGCTGCTTCCTGCACAGCTTACCCCGCACTCCCGGGGGGCCCAGCAGCATTACTGAGGGCTGCAGCTTAGAGGGTTCTGCAGGGGGCACTGGGGCTGGGCACAGGCCCCAGGGGGCCTTCTCGGCGCTTAGGGAGGAAGCCTGTGAATTGGGAGAAGCAAGGAGCTGAGCCTGACTCTGCTACTTCATGTTCTGTGACCCTGGGCAAGTTCCTTTTCCAGTCCGAGCTTGTCTTAAGCATGAAGGAAGGGCCAGGCGGTCTTAGAGTGTCCATGGGGGGATCAGGGGGGACCTAGAAGGGGCTGTGCAAACCCCAGGGCGGAGTGAGAAGGCCTGGGGCTCCAGCTGGAGGGGGCGTTGGGAGGGGGGCCTCTAAAAACCTCTCCTCTCTGCTGGGATGGTCAGGGAAGGCTCCAGGGAGGAGGTGGGGCCCAAAGGTCTGGGTAGCTGAGGACGGGATTCTAGGCGAAGGCGCCGGTGTGAGCGAAGCTGGGTCCGGAAGCCGGAGAAAAGCAGTGGGGTCTGGTGGGAAGTTGAGGGGGCTGAGGCCACTTGGAACTGGTCCTAAAAAGCCTGGACTCTCAGCCTGGGGTCGGGGACTCTCTGTAGGATGTACAGTCACATCCAGCTGGCCAGTAAGCTCTCTCCGGGCTGCGACTACGCCCTGTTCAAGGTAAGCTCTGCTTCCGGCCACCGGCCACCGGCCACCGGGGCAGGGGCAGGGGGCGGGGGCGGGGGCTGACCCTCTCCAGTGCCTGCTGCATCACTCTTTCATCGGGGGGCGGGGCGGGGTGCCAAGGACAGCCCCCCTCAGAGCCAAGAGAAGGAAAGGCCGTAGAGAAGCTTGGACGAAGGGTCAGGCCTGAGCTGCACCTTGAAGGACCATTGAAGGCCTGAAAATGGGGGAACAAAGAAGGAGCCCAGGTCCCTGGCCTGGTTCTGTAACTAGGAACAGGCATCGGAATTGCCCGTGGACACTGCTTATTACGGTCCAGACCGATTCCTGAAGGTGCTAACCCAGCAGATGTGTGCGGTGGGACCCTGACGTCAGTGTCTAAAGATTTCCCAGGCGCACGTGAGCCTGGCCGAGCTCCAGACGTCTGGCATGGCCCCCACTGGGGTTGCCCCAGAGCCTTCGTTAATTACCCCCATTTGAACTCTTGTCTTAAGGAACTCTTCAGTAAGAGACAAGCACACGTATGCAAGGCTATAATAGGTGACAAATGCTGAGGCTCCGGGGGCTGAATGGCTGGTGGTGGCACCTGCCTGTACAGAGGGGAGGGAGGTGAGAGAAAGCCTGGCCCGTGAGGCCTACTGAGGGGCAGGAGCAGGACCTGGGAAGGTGGCTGGGCTCCCACTTCCCTGTGAACAAAGGCAGTGGATTTGGCATCTGGCCTCCCAGGATGGCATCGAGCCCATGTGGGAAGACGCCAGGAATAAGCGAGGTGGCCGCTGGCTGGTCAGCCTTGCCAAACAGCAGCGCCACATTGAGCTGGACCGCTTGTGGCTGGAGACAGTGAGTGGAGGGCTGGGAGGGAGACAGGGTCACCCGAAGGAAGGGGCAGGGTTGGTACGGGACTCACGGGTGGCAGTGGCCTCGAGGACGGTGGGAGCAGCTCCTGGGCTGCAGCTGGAGGTCTCATCGCCTCCCTCTCGGCCCCAGCTGCTGTGTCTCATTGGGGAGAGCTTCGAGGAGTACAGCCGGGAGGTGTGTGGGGCCGTCATCAACATCCGAGCCAAGGGGGACAAGATTGCTGTGTGGACGCGAGAGGCAGAGCACCAGACGGGCGTGCTCCACATCGGGTGAGGCGGCTCTGGCATGGGGTGCGGGTGGGTCTCTTCTAGGGGAGGAGGCAACATGGGGGGTGGTTTGGGTCTAAGTTTCAAAATATTCCTAGCAGAACTGTTTTTTTTTCCTTCCTTTGGTATTAGTCCTATTTCGGGGTTCCCACATGGATCAAATGCAGTCTGGGAGGGGCTGGGGCTGGAACCAGGGCAGGGGCCCTGGGCTGAGGACCTGCTGCTGCCTGCCGTCTCACGTCCTCACCCACGCACCCCTAGGCGTGTCTACAAAGAGCGTTTGGGACTCTCGGCAAAGACCATCATCGGGTACCAGGCCCACGCAGACACAGCTACCAAGAGCAACACCCTGGCCAAGAACAAGTTTGTGGTGTGAGGGCGGGGGGGCCACTCCCCACTCAGCCACCCCCAGCCCCTCACTGCCACGCGTGTCCTGCACAGGCCAGGCCAGGGCAGAGGGCAGAGGGCCTGCTCAGCACCTGGTCTGGAGGGAACGTGAACATTCTGGAACAGGAGTTGGGGCCCACGCTGGGGGGCCATTCCGTTGGGGGTGGGGTGCGGGCGGGGCGGGGGGCCGGGGGAGATGCAGGCTGAGGACCCAGGGCAGTGGAAAGGTGGAGGGAGTCCCTGGGTTTCCGTGTTTCATCCAGGGGTTAGTCACGGGCAGAAGGAGGGCTCAACAGCCCGGAAGGATGACGGGAGCAAACCTATGATCCATCATTCACCCTGTGCCTACCTGGGGGGTGGGGCGGTAGCTAGCTAAGGACCTTCGGGCCAAACCCCTCTATTCTCGGGGAGTGAGACTCGAGGCCACTGCCACTTTGAGAGCTGGAGTTCAGGGCCGGGAGGAGGGCCTCCCCTCTTGGTGGTCAGTCTGCTGAAAACCTTTGTGGATTGCCTCCTGGTGCCCACCCTGAATCCCACACCTCCCTGGAGGAGGGCTGTGCCGCCCTCCCCACTCCGAACGTCACAGGCCGAGGCTTAGAGGGAGAGCCACGTCGTCTCACAGAGGGATGTGAGGGGAGCTGAGGAGGGAGACAGCGCCCTGTGGTCCCTCCCTCTTCCCTCAGCTGTGGCCAGGGCTGTCTGGGCCTTCCTGGCCTCAGGGCGGGGCTTAGGTGGAGGTGGGTGGGTGAGGCCCCGCCCAGGAGGGGAGTAGAGCGGCGGTCGGGCCTCAGCGTGGTTCTGCTAGAGGTGGATTAACTTGATGAAGCTCAAGCAAGGCCCTTACTGTTTTTGTTCTAAATAAATACTCTTTCGAACAAAATTGGAATGATTTTTAACGAGGGCTCTATCATCGAGTATGATTCAGTTCCTCCAAAAGCTGGATCTGCCCCAGTCCTCCTTGCAAGGAGATCGTGTGTGACTCCCAGGTACCAAGGAACCCAATCAGGCCCAAGTTGGGATGAGGGAAGAGTGATAAGACTGGGGGGCTCCAAGCGCCGAAGGGGGTTGAGCCGGGGGTGGGGTGTCTGCCCCCTGAAAAGCTGAAGGGGCAGGGAGGAGCTGGCGCGGCACTCACAAGACCCGGGAGGCGTCTGGCCCGAGTGGGAGCCAGTACAAGTAGGGCTGAATCTCCGGTGAGTGAACCGCGTGTCTGATTGGACTCCACTGTAATAAACGTCTGCACGTGTGTTAAGAACGCGCGTGAATCTCCATCTGCTCACCAGCGTAGTAGTCACTCCTCTCCAGAGAGGAGCTCCCGCAGCAAGGCCGGGGACTGAGGTGGCGCGGGGACTGAGCCCTGCAGGGTGGGGAGAAGTGGGGAGTCTCCATGCCCGTGGCTTGCGCTGCCATTTGCGAGCGTCTCAGGAGGGACTGCAGAACGCCGGGGCGCTCTCTGCGGCTGCCCGCCAGCAAGTGCAGCGAAGCGGGGGGCGGGGGGCTGAGGTGTCTGGGGGCGGGGCCAGGGCGGGCGGGGCCAGACCCAGGGGCGGGGCTCAGAGGCGACCGAGTCGCGCAGGGGGCCGAGCCAGGCCTAGGGGCGGGGGCGCTCTGAGGGTACCCAGCGGGCTCAGAGCAGGGCGGCCCCGGCGCCGGGGGCGGTCCCTGCGGGGCGGGCGGGGCCCGACGGGTCTCAGTGTGGCCTTGGCCATGAAGCCGCAGCCGCCGGGCTAGGCCCCGGGCGGCTCTAGCCCAGGGCGGCCCGCGGAGGGCTGGGCCGGGCCCCGGCTCCGGGTACCCGGCCGGCAGGCGGCCGCTCACCATGCCCGGCAAGCACCAGCACTTCCAGGAACCCGAGGTCGGCTGCTGCGGGAAATACTTCCTGTTTGGCTTCAACATTGTCTTCTGGGTGAGCGCGGGGTGGGTTCCGGGCCCTGCGCTGGGGGCGCCGGGAGAAGGAGATTCAGTCTTCTACTGAGGGGAGACCACTCCCGGCCACCAGGGCTTAGGTGCTTCCTGCTACTCCTACCTGGCCACCCATCCCCCAAAACCACCGAAGGGAACTGTTGGGAAGCACAGATTGCAGGGGGGCGGGTCCCAGCCACCGCGGTCATGGTGTGAGGAAGGGGGTCTCCCTGTGTCTTCCGAAGGTGCGGCAGAGAAGGGAGAGTGTTTTTTTGAAGGCCTCAGCGGCGCGCTTGGTGCGATTGGCCCTCCCTTCTGCCCAACTCACTTTGATACCCAGGGGTGTGGGGTGCACGCTGAGCCCCAGCCTGGTTTAGGGAGGAGAGTCTGCCGAGGAGGGAAGGGCCGTATCCCCCTTCCTCTCCAGCACCTGAGCCTGGCGCCTTGCTTTTCGCTCTGGCAAAGGGGGCTGGATCAAAGCCCTTCTACCTTCAGCCCCCTGCGGGGAGGCTTGTGGACCGAAAGTGCCCAGAGTCAGAGTCCCGGGGGAGGACCGCCCCTCTGGAGAGGGAGGCGGGCAGCGGGCCCTGGGGAGCAGAACTCTGCATTCCACAGCTGACCAAACCGAGGCTCCAGGGCGCGGCTGCCCCTGTCCTGGGAAGGGAGCTGCTGGTGCCCCTCCCAGGGTGGCATCTGTGCCCCAGGGCGCTGCCAAGTCATCTTTCCCTTCTCCCTCCCCCATCTCATCTCTCCAAGGCTGCCTGCCGCCTCTGCAATCTCTGCTCCTGCTGCCTTGGTCAAAATGCCGGGCCCCTTCAGTTTTGTTGGGCAGGTCTCAGTGGCGCCGCCCCCTCCCCACATGCGGCCCATGCAGTCACCCCCGCCTGGCTGTCCTTTGGCTCCGCAGTGCTCAGCTCCCCGAGCGCGTGGAGTGTGTGCAGACTCTCCTGGTGGCGAAGTCTGGAGGCCTGTGGGTACAGGTCCCTCTGTGAGCCGGGCGGGGGTCGGGGGGTGGGGGGGGGGGGGGAGGGGAGGCAGGCAGGACGCCTCTCCTGGGCCTCCCTCCCTGGGAGGGGGTGATAATGAAGGCTGCCCCCAGGGTTAGGCGTATCAAATGAATTATAATTTCCTGTGTTCTTGAAGCTGCGTTATTGTTATCTACATTTTGCGTATAAGGGAACAGGCACAGAGAAGTTAGTCATTTCACCTAGAGACACACAGCCACTAAGTGCAGAGCCAAGGTGACAGACCGTGGGCGGGGCTGGAGGTGAGGCGAGCACTGGGCAGAGGGTGCCCTCGAATGCCAAGGGGGGATGGGCTGGAGAGGCCCAGGCTTGTCCAGCGCCCTGGGCCGAGCAGAGTTTGAGTCTTCTGTTCGGGGCAGCGTGGGGCAGCGAGGGCCTGCGTGCTGGTGAGGGGTCTGTCCCCGCTTCTGTGTCGCAGGCAGAACTGCCTGGCTGCTTGGGGTGGGGGCAGGGCAGGGGTGGAGGTGGGGAGACCAGGGAGGAGGGCTGGGGCAGAGTTGGGGTGGTGGGAGGAGGAGAGGAAAGCTCCCCGGGGAAGTTACAAGGCTGGATTGATAGGACCAGGCCACCTGGCGGCGGGGGGGGGCGGGGGGGGTAGAGGGAGGGTTTGGGGTCAAGGCGGCCTCAGGGAGATGCCGCAAAACAGGTCCAGAGATTTTTTGTTTTAATGGGATGCACATCCTGGTATTGCCCTGCTCGTAATCTTCCAGGGTCTTCTCACTAGAACACAATCCAGACTCCTTCCCAGGGCCTTCAGCACCCCTTGGGGTCAGGCCCTGCCCCCTTCAGCTGGTCCCTTGCACAACCGAAACTGACTGAACCTCGTTTCCTTGGCCAGTTTCTCCCCCAGAAGTCTTTTCTCCCCCCTGTACCTTTTTAACATTTAAAGCACAGCTAAAAGGTCACCACTTTCCCTAACTAGAGCCCACCCCCAGTCACCCCTAGTCACTCTGCATGGTGCTGCCCTGTTTGATTTTCTTTAAAGGATCATTTGGTCACTGAAATTACCTTGTTTGCTCACTGTGGATTTCCCCAACTGGCATTAACTCCGTGAGGGCTGAGAGCTAGCTGTCCTATTTGCCGATGTGTTCCCAGCATCTGGAACAGAACATGGAACTAGGAAGTTTCTGCAGTTAAGCATCTGGAGCCAGGGAGAGGCTTGGGTGGGGGTCCGGCAATGTTAGCGGTCAGTGTCATGAAGGTGTGGAAAATGAGTATGCGTGGGAGGAAGGGCTGAAGACTGAGGCTGGAACCAGCGGGCAGTGGGCGTGGTCAGCTGCCTGGGGCAGTAAAGCAGAGGAGCTGGGAGGGAGGCCGAGGAGAGACGGGTCAAAGATGATGTTGCGTTAATCACTGAGGGGTTCAGAGAGAGGAAAGCAGTGGCCGTAGCCTGTCTGAAGGCATGGGCGGGTCAAGCCCGATGAGGCAGAAGTCGTGTGTGGTTTCACATCCCAGATGCAGTGTAGGGGAGGGAAGGAAAGACAGTTCTAAAGAGAACAGAGCAGTGGGAGGAGCCTGGGATTGGGGGGGGGCACTACAGGTGGGCTCGGTGCTGCGAGGGAGGGGCCTATAGAGAAGGGGGGGTGGTGGGAGGTCTGAGCAAGTGGCCTCACGGCCCTGGGCTGGGCAGCAGGTGATGGCTGGTCAGGATCTGCCCAGGGTCAGGCGGCCTTGACATCCGGGCCTTTCCCCGTAAGGACTGGAGGCAGGGTGGCGGGCGGCATTCGGAAGGCCCAGGCAGAGCTTGGGCCGCGTGGTTCCTCGGATGCAGCCGCTGGCCGGGGCTGAGGCCCCTCTGCTGGGCCCTGCTCTGCGTCAGATCCCTTTCTGTGCAGGGGACTTTGGTTTTGAGCTCTGAGGATGGAACTTGACAGAAAACGGCCTCTGGCAGACATGGCGAAGTGGGGGTGGGCTGGCGGTCACAGCGCTGCAGGGCTGGGGTTGGGAGGGGCCGAGGCAGGGGCCCTGAGCCCCAGCACGGGCTGGGGCGCGAGCTGAGGCTCAGGACACTTGGTGCGAGTGTCTTGGTGGCCCTGTGCTCCAGCTCTGGGTTCCAGGGAGGGGCCCTGACGGCCATCCCAGGGCTGGGCGGTGTTCCATCTTCCAGGCCATGTGCTGTGAGGAGGAAGCACTGACGCGCCGCTGGGAAGGCGGAAAGGACCCTGACTCCTCCTTACAGCCCTTCGCCCTCCTCCTTTCTCTCCCCCGAAGACCCCGAGTGCAGGGGTGAAGCGGCATGCTGGCGCCCCAGCTCTCAGCCCCTTGCTTCTGCTCTTGCAGGTGCTGGGAGCCCTGTTCCTGGCCATCGGCCTCTGGGCCTGGGGTGAGAAGGTAAGGGGGGGGGGTTAGCACGTGGGGCTGCCGCAGGTCGAAATGGGGAGGACCAGCACCCCCACGTGCCTCTGCTCCCCTGGCACAGGGTGTTCTCTCCAACATCTCGGCGCTGACGGATCTGGGAGGCCTTGACCCCGTGTGGCTGTTCGTGGTGGTTGGAGGTGTCATGTCGGTGCTGGGTTTTGCCGGCTGCATCGGGGCGCTCCGGGAGAACACCTTCCTGCTCAAGTTTGTGAGTGCCCCCCACTTAGGTCCGCGGGGCACCCCGACCTCCTCCTACCCACTTCTTTCTTACACATAGTGTAGACTTAATAAGGAGTCGTTTTATTATGTGATAGCAATAAATATCAGGTTCGTACATCTATATTTATAGGGTCCTTTCTTTTGTAAATGACTGAAAACCAGTGACCTAAGCATAAAAGGATATTTATTGACTCGCTAAGAAAAGCTCCCAGGTGTGCTGGCTGCAGGCACATTTGGGTCCCGGGACCACCATGGGGTCATTTGGCCTGGCCTCTCTGTTCTCAGCTCTGTCCCTCCTGGCTTTAGTTCCATTCCTCATAGGGTCGAAGGATGCCCAGGAAGGGTGGCTGCTGGCTTCAGGTTGCCCTCCTAGGAACTCCTACTGGAGGCAGAAGCTCTTCTCAACCTCCTGTCCAAGTCCTTTAGTTGCATCTCTTTGATTCTGATTGGCCGTGTCTGGGCCAATCCCGGGGGAGGTAGCGCTCTGAATGGCGGGCTCCTGGGTGTGCTCAGTTCTCTGTCTGGGAAATGCTGAAGGAGGTGAGGGTTCCAGCTGAGCCACAGAAACTGAAGGTGTCTTTGAAGGGTGGTTTCTCAAAACAAAACAAAGCAAAAACAAAGTCAAACATATAAAACAAAGACAAAAAAACCCCGGTGATTACCAGAGGAAGCGTAATGAATGGTAGACAAGGACAGTAGTCTTTACCAACATAAAACAGCACTAACATGATAGAAGGTAGGGACTCCGGGCTGTCTCGGGTCCGGGGTAGAGGGTTGAGCGCGGCCTGGCAGCACCCCTAGGCCCTGCGTCTCTGACCCCCGCCGTCTGTGTGTCCCCACCCCCAGTTCTCAGTGTTCCTCGGCCTCATCTTTTTCCTGGAGCTGGCTACGGGGATCCTGGCCTTTGTCTTCAAGGACTGGATACGAGACCAGCTCAACCTCTTCATCAACAACAACGTCAAGGCCTATCGGGACGACATTGACCTCCAGAACCTCATTGACTTTGCTCAGGAATACGTGAGTCCGGCCTCCGGCACTGGCCACCACCCGCAGGAGGCACCTGCTGGGCAGATGAGTGAGGGAGCAAGTCCTCTGTGGGCTGGGACCTTTCCCTCGCCCGCCCAGGCCAGGCGGGCCCCAGGAGACAGCCGGGCATTCTCCTTCCTGAGGGACGCCAGCCCTGCGTGTCCCCGTGAGCCTAGTCCCGCAGAGAAGCAGGGTTGGGGAGCAGAGGCCGGAGACTCCAAACTGGCAACTCCTAGGCCAGGGCTTACACCGCACTTAGAGTTGGAATGAAAATGCAGATTCCCCTTCTCGGAGGCCCTGGGCCTGCAGGACTGGCCGGGGCTGCTTGGTCGCCACCCCTGCGCCAGTGCAGGAGCTCTCTGCGTGCCACTACCCCGCCACTCTGTATTTTCTTATACCGGTGGGCCCTCTTTTCTCATTTACATCATTTGTTTGGCCTCTGAACATATTAGAGTTTGCGGCTGCCGACAGATGCTCTGCCCTCGAGCTTAATTACCCACCTCTATGAAAAAGCAGTCAGTGAGCAGTCCCCAAAATCCTAGACACCTCGCACCTGCAAGTTCTCTCCCACTCATGCAGTGGCACCTGTTCACGCCCACATACACCATCGTCTCCTTTGGCGCCATCCACATGGTCCGCACTGGGACCCAGCCGTGAACCAACCAGAGCTGGCGTCTGCTTTGAGGAGCTCTGAACCCAGGGGTAGGCAGACATATAGCCAGGTGGTTAGGATGTGGCTTGTTCATTCAACACGGAATGGCTGTGGGTTTCTCGTGTGCCGGGCCTCGGGCTGTGTGCCAGGGGTTCCGTGGGGAGCTGCTCCCGTGGGGTAGGCAGTCTGGGTGAAGAGAGGGCTGAGCGCTCCCCTGTGGGAGCAGCAGGTGCCAGGCAGAGGGGAGCGGGCAGGCCAGGCCAGGCTGCGCACACAGAGCCGCACGGCCTTACCTCCCTCCCCAGCCTGGGCCTGCAGGGCCTGCTGTGGCGGCCGCGGGGCTGGGTCCCTCTGGGGCTGGCTCTCCAGCAGCCAGCGCTGCCGCGGTGAGTTACGGCTGCGCGCGCCGGCCTCCCCTGCCGGGTCCTGAGCTCCTGGCTTCATCACGGCCCCACACTTGCCATCGAGCCACGGGGGTGGGGGCAGCCCATGATGTTCTGGGCCCGGAGACCGAGACAGGGCGGGGGCTGAGGAGTGCGTTCATGAAGCGCAGTGGGAGGGCTCTGAGGGTGGCAGGACTCTGCTCCTGCCCCTGTAGGAAGGGACGGGGATCTTAAAAGCTCCGGGCAAGTGCGGGGAGACGCGGCACAGACGCAGGTAGCAGAGCCTCTCCCCACGGGGCTTGGCCGGGCACCCCATCCATCGGGTGTACCGCAGGAAGCCACAGTCCTTGGGCCAACGTTCTTGCCCCATCCCATCCTTTTTCAGCCCCTCTTGGGTTAGGGGGACAAGCTCAGGAGCCCCTTCCCACTACCCCCTGCTCCCACCCACCTGGGCCCTGGCCTGGCCTGTCTGCTGGGGGGCGGTGGGGGAGCGCCCACCCTCCTGGCTGCCTCTACGCCCCTTCCCAGCCTGGTCCTGTCTCTCCAGCCTCAGCTTGTCCCCAAACAGGGTGGGCCTGGCTTACCTGGCTCTCTCCCCTCCCCCATCCCCTCCAGTGGTCTTGCTGCGGAGCCCGAGGGCCCAATGATTGGAACCTCAATATCTATTTCAACTGTACTGACTTGAACCCGAGCCGGGAGCGCTGCGGGGTGCCCTTCTCCTGCTGCGTCAGAGACCCTGCGGTGAGCGGGGCCCGCTGTGGGGCAGAGGGCGCTGCTGGGTGCAGGCCCAGCCTGGGAAGAGCCCACCACAGGGCCGCCTGGCCCCACCTTGGCGGCTGGGGCTGTTGGGAGGAGGCTACTTTACGTGGGGCCCCCGCCAGCCTGCGAGCTTGTGTCTGAGGCCTGCGGGAGCCGGAGCTGGGCCCCTTCAGCAAAGCCCATCTCTGACTGTAGCAAGACGGCAGATGCAGGCCCCTGGGTACCCGTGTTCCCAGCCAAATACAGCCCAGGCGGCGTCTGCCCCTGGCCAGCCTGAAGGTTTTCTGGGGGCCGGGGCTGGGGGCGCTCCCTCAGTCATGGGTGTATGTGGCAGGGCTCCCGGCTGCAGCCAGCTGCCATACCCCCGGGCCACCATACTGGGGTGGCAGGGCATGGGTGCTCTGGCCCCTGTGTGGCTGCCTCCAGAGCAGAAACGTCTCACAGTGACATCCCTGCAGTCACAGCTCAGCCGGGACGCTGAGGGCCAGGTCTCCCTGTTCTTGTAGAACACGAGCAGGCAGGATTGCCAAGCAGGAGAGAGCCCAGGCCAGTGCGCCGCGGGGCGCCTGGCACCAGACAGAGGCGCGCGGCCTCAGCGAGCCTCACTCAGGAGCGGTGGGTGTGGGGGGGCCACGTCTGTTCTGCTTCCCTGGAGAAGCTGGAACCAACGCAGTGCTGGGCGCCGTGGGCCCTGGGGTTGCCCCTCACCCATGGCTTATCGGCCTGTTTCTCCTCAGGAAGATGTTCTCAACACCCAGTGTGGCTACGATGTCCGGCTCAAACTGGTGAGGGGGGCATGGGGCGGGAGCTCTGGGATGGGAAGGGGCCCTCAGAAGCTGCTCTGAAAGGCCTCAGGATCTGTGGGGAGAGGGTGCTGGGTCCCAAGAACCATCCCGACACCCAGACCTTGGCGCGGTCAGACACGGGGGCGGTGGGCCTGTGGGCACGGGCACAGCTGCGTGTGCTCTTTCCAAGTCTTCACTGAGCACGCGCTGGGTGCCCAGCATCGCCCTAGACGCGGGACGCATGCCCCTGAGACAGACAGAGCCGGCGATGGACTCGGGGCTGGGCGGTGAGAGAAGGCCTCTCAGAGGAGCGGGCACTGGGCCGAGAGCCGCCGCCAAGAGCGGCCAGCCGCGGGGAGGCCTGGCGCAGGGCCCTGGGCAGCAGGCGTGGTGGGCACGGGCGCCGAGGCCCACGCTGGCGGCTGGGCTGAGCCCCGCACCTGTACGTCCCCAGGAGCTGGAGCAGCAGGGCTCCATCCACACGAAAGGCTGCGTGGGGCAGTTTGAGAAGTGGCTGCAGGACAACCTGATCGTGGTGGCCGGGGTCTTCGTGGGCATCGCCCTCCTCCAGGTACCGTGGGGGCTCCGCGTGCCCCCTCCTCGCTCACCCCGGGCCACCCCCGCCGCGGTCTCTCCCTCACCCCCGCCCCCTCTTACAGATCTTTGGCATCTGCCTGGCCCAGAACCTCGTGAGCGACATCAAGGCAGTGAAGGCCAACTGGTGAGGCTGCCCGCCTGGCCTGCCTGGGGACCCTCCGCTGTGCCGTGGTGGCGAGGCTGCAGGAGGCCTTTCTTCCTGGACCGGAACCCCACACGGGGCCCGCAGAGAGCCGCAGGGCCGCGCCTGGGCTGCCTGACCGGGGGCGGTGTGCTTGTGCCAGTGTGGGTGTGCACGAGGTGTCACTGTCCGCTGGCGTTGTGTGGTGGGCTCTCTAGGGGACTAGGAAGGGCGCAGGCGGGGACGCGCATCCCTGCGTGGGGGTGCGGGGCAGGCGTGGGGCCTGCTGCGGTCTGAGACGGAGCCCCACGCAGCGTCAGAGCTCTCTGCTCTGTCAGCTGGACCTTGACCTTTGCAGGAGACCACTTCAGCCTCAATGTGTCAGACTCCAAAACGAGTCCAAGAATTTTCTCTCCCTTGCTTGCCTCTCAGGATCAAACATGATGATGGCTACAAACTACTCAAATAAACAACCTTGACAACCTCCGGCTCACCCCCACCGTCTGGTTCTGTCGGCCATGGGGCTCCCGGCCCAGACCCAGCCCGCCCTGTTTTTCAGCCTGGGTCGTATATACCTTGAAGCCAAACTTCAAAGCCTGGTTTATTTCACATAGAAGTTCAGATCTTCAGCGGCAACCGCTCCTGGGGCGCACACGTTCATTCTCCGGGGCCCCGCCTGCTCCATTCTGCCCTGCAGAGCCTGTGGGCCGGGGTTGGCCTTCCCCACCTCTGTAGGGCTGCTCCCGGCCAACACCGGGGAGCTCTGTGACCAAGCCTGGAGGGAACCCCGGGGCTGTGAAGAATGGAGGCTGGACCCCACTCTGAAGAGGCCGGAGAGGGGGCTGACCCTGCTGGGGACTGAAATGGGCGCTAGTGGGCCCAAGAAGGTGGCTGAGGGATGGGATGGAGATCGGGGAGGCTTTCGGAAGGAAGTAGCTGGAAGCCCAAAGCTGGGGACCCGTGGGGGTGGGGAACCTAGTTAGGGGGTCATGGATGATTGACTGCTGGGCTCGCTCCTTGGAATCAAGGTCAAAATCTTCCCAGTGACTTGCAAAGCTGCCTTGTGGCCACCAGAGGGCGCGCCAGTACAGCGTTCCCTGTGTCTGGCATTTCTCTGGCAACTTCACCAGGTTACAGTCAAGTGTCTGGAGTGTCCACCCTACTTACTAGTGCTTTGGGGTTCCGTGAAACTGGAACTTCAAAAGGAGCAAACCGGCTCAGACTTGGGAGAGTCTGTCTGCTCTTCCCATTTCTGCCTCTTACCCACTGTATGAAGAGGTGTGTGAGTGACCGCCACACCCCTCCTGGGCTGCCCTCTGTGGCTAGTCCCCAGATCGCAGACTCACGTGTCCGAGGGTCTGGTAGGTCAGTTGTGGATAAATGAAGCAGGCCTTTGACTGGTGAGGCTTTTGCAGTGCTACTTTGACTTCCCCATTGTTACTGAAGATGGGATGCAGACGTTGCTTTGTGGCGGGAATTATTTGCACAAATGAGTTGGTAACGGCAACTGGCCTGAGAGACAATAGGGAGTGATGGAGATTGCAGCAAAGCACAGATCCTCATCCAAAATTGGTGGCTGTCATTAAGCTGTAGCTCACTGATACAAAGTAAGAATGTAGGCCTAATGTTGGTAATCTGGGGATGCCAGAAATCCAGATTTTTATGTAAAATATGATTTTTAAGTTCCTGGCAACTAATAAAAAAATTTAAAAACCTGCAAGCCAAACAAAAAGTGTGGGGCCAGCTTTGGCCCCAGCCCACTGTGGGTCCTCCTGGGACAGCCGCCGCTGGGGCCCTGGCTGCTCTGCCCTTCAGCGGTGCTGCAGTGGCTGCCGGCGAGCAGGCGCGGGGCACACGCCCAGCGTCGTGTCCTGGGGCCCCTGATGGGTGCCGGTTGCAGGTGGTTTATAGGTGCTACAATAAATTCAGCTCACAGACTTGTGTGTTTGTCTTGTGTTTTTAAATTTCAAATGCTTTTGCTTTCATTCCATCTCCCCTCCCAAACCTCACAACCCCTGTGTGAGGTGGAGATCCCTTTCCTCATGAAACTTCAGCTCATAGAGGGAGTTAGTGTTGCCCAGCACACAGCTGGAAGAGGCACCCAGCTCTGAGCCCGCTGGTGGGAGCTTTGCCCTGGGCCGGCCTGCCTTTCGGACGCCCCTGGGTGAAACGCGCACGCTCGCAGTGCCCACCAACAACGGGCAGGGAGGCGTGACCTGTGAGCATGTGTTGGGCATCTATGTAAGTGCTGGAGACGGAGGGGAGATGGGGGCAGAGTCCCAGCTCTTGTGCTGCATTCCTGTGGGGGAGACGCAGAACCAAGCCAGGCAAGTAAGCATTCGTGTTAACATATACGCATGAAAAGTAAGAGTGACAGGCTAGACAGGGAAAGTTGGGGTGTCTGGGAGAAGGGACCCCTTTGATGGGGGCGGCTAGAGAAGGAGGCTCCATCTCCAGGGGGGGGCTCCAAGAGAACAGTGTTGGTACCAGCTGCCCTAGAGGCCCTGAAGCCTGAGTGGGCTCAGCCCGAGGAAGCCTGGGCGCGGAGAGTGGTAGTGGCTGAGGAACAGGGGGCAGGGGGCACGCACGGGGGAGGTGTAGCCCCCCTGACGTTTGGAAGTGGCATTGGGGAAGCCAGATATGGATGACTGGTAGGCGTGGTCACGACCCTGGCTGGGGACTCAGAGTTCCCCGAAGCTCTATTCTGCAGCAGGGTTCCTCCCCACCCCCCTCCCCGCATCCACTCCGGCAGGCTCTGGCTGGAGGCTGAGTCACTGAGGCGGGTCACACTTGCCCTCGCCTGCCAGAGCCCAGAGGCTCCTGGCAGAGGCCGCCGGAGCAGCTGCTCGTGGTGCAATGTGTACGTGGTGACAAGCACGAGATCACTGCTAGGTGGTGTTGCACGCTGGTTAGAGACAAATCTCCTGTCCCCAAGGTAGAACTTAAAGCAGTTCCTCTCCTTGCACTGAGGAGCCCTTACTCAGATGGAACCTTTCCAGTTATGTTGAAAACACAAGGAAGTGTAAGGCTGCCTCCTGACCATCCTTCGAGGCAGGTCCCTGGGCTATGGGGACCAGGGTGATCTTCCCACCCTCTGTTGTCAGAGAGGGGTGCACGCTGGAGGTGACAGAGGTGGCCATTGTCTGGCAGCCTAGGTGCGCCCCAGGAACCCTGGGCCTGCCTAGTCAGACCGCAGAAGGTGCTTCCAGCCTGGCAGGTAGGCATCCTTGACTTGGTGCTGCCTCGGAGAGAGGGCCAGAGGGGGAGGCAGAAGGGACAGAGAGAGCCACCGACAGGCAAACCTTCGGATCTGGTCGGATGGCCTAGGGAGGGGTCCCCTCCCAGAGGATAGCCAGGCAGGCTAAGGGAGCGCGTGCCTTGGGGGAGCCACTCCCGGCGACCACCAGAGGGCATCAAAACTCAGCCGGCGCGGCGTAGCGGGACCCCAGGGTGGGGGGGGCTGTGAGTGTGAAGGTCACTGAGGGTAGGCCCTGAGGCCGAGGTGAAGCCGTGCCACCCTGTCAGAGGCCTGCCGCCCACTATTGCCAAATCCAGGCTTCGCTACTCTCTGCTGGGTCCACTCCAGGACAAACAGCGCTGCTCCCCACCTCACCTCCCCGGCCCTTCCCAGGGCTCGGGGCGGCCTGCGCCCACCCTCCAGCCCCGATAGGTGGCGCTGCCTGCCAGACCGAGCTGCGGGTGGGGGGCCGCTTTCTCTCGGAGACCCGAGTGACATGCCCCACCGCGCGTCCACTTCCACTCACTCCTTCTGCCAGGCTTCCTGAGTACCTACTGTGCGCCAGACACTGTTGTAGGCACTTGGGATACGTAAGAGAGTAAAGGAAGACCCACCCCCTGGTGCTCACAGTCCAGATTGTGGGGTCGGCAGCTTTTGTTTGCAAAAGACAAAGTAACTATTCAGGCTTCCGGGCCACTCAGCGCTGCCTTTAGAGCAGGAAGCCCCTCCCCACAGGACAAATGGGCGTGGCAGCTTTCCAATGAACTCTCCGGACGCCAAAATTAGAATTCCATATAATTTTCAAGTGTCACAAAATATCCCCTCTTTGATTTTCAACCATTAAAAACACAAAACCACCCTTTGCCCTTGAGCTATGTAAGAACAGGCAGCGCTGGATTCGCCTCGGGGTCTGGCGTTGCCGACCCCCAGCCTGGGAAGGGAGGCGACCACAGCGAGTCTCGTCTGAGTCACTCACCTGGGAGCTGAGCGGACACGGAGGGACTGCGGCCCAGCAGCGTGGGCGTGGGGCAGGCCTCGGCGTCAAATGAGGGCCTCAGAGGGGGCCTCGCTGAGAAAGCAAAACAGAACGAAGGCTTTTTATTTTTATTGAAAATTATTTTGACAGGTAAAATAGGAACCCAACCTACATTGTAAAAGGAAGACACTCAGTCCCCTTACGGGCCCATCCTGTTCCCCTCCCCTGCCCTCCCCCCGCGGCAGGAACCTTAACGTTTGCAGGCATGCTATGTATCCACGGAGAACGTTCAGTGTCATTTGGGTGTGTTCTAAGTGACGGGTGACTGTCCCCATCTCGCTGAGGCTTGCTTTTCCGCCCCCCTCCTCGTGTCTGCGCATCAAAGCTGCTCATTTCAGGTGGCCGTGGAGGTGTCTCCTCAGGAATAAGGCCGGTCTGCCTCTCCATCCCTCACCTGATGGGTGGTGGACAGCTGGTTGCTCCTGCTTTGGGGCTCTTTGCTCCCAAGGCTCTGGTTAGAGGCAGAGCCAAGCCCTCTCTCCTGGGGTTCTGGCTGGAGCTGCCACTGCTTTGCTGGGCAGGAGGACGAAGGCTACAGGGGAGGGCGGCCTCGAGTTGGGCTGATGGCAGGTGTGGCGCCAGCAGGTCCCTTCTTGGGCCTGTGGGCCTCATTTTGCTCCCCAGCCCAGCCACAGTCAGATGCCCATGCCCATCAGAGGCCCAGGACGCCGCCGTCAGGGTGTGAAGTCCGCACAGCCAGCGCCTTGGCTACCAAGGCTGTCGTCATGGTAATGCTTCCTGGTCCCCTGTGTAGCCCCTAGGCAGATGGGGACGTCAGCGCCCTGCCCACAGAGGGGCCTCCGCCGTGGCCTGAGCACCCAGCCCTTGATCGAAGAAGTCCGCCCGAGGCGCCTAGAGGCCTGGGCACATCTGCACGCCTGGGTCCCGCTTGCAGGGACGGTCATGTCCGGGAGCCAGCACTCCGGGCCTGCCTCCCGCCCAGGCCAGACCCTCCGCAGGCTGCCCCCGCCCGCCCCGGCCCCAATCTGTGGGCATCTCCTGGGAACGGCGCCCGGAGCAAGGCGGCCCCAGCAGGGGGGCCGCATGGGAGCCCATCTGTCCTGCCAGTCAGCTGACATTTGCCCCGTACGCCAGTGTGCCAGGCCGTGCTGGACACCAGGAGCTCCGGGCTTCAGGGTCTGGCGGGGGACTCTGTCAGGCGAGTTGTCAGCCCCTACGAGCGATTTATTTGTTTGAATAGGTGGTGCAGGCACGCGGCTACAAACTCAAACTGCATGGCAGCTGTGCGCAAACCCCTTCCCGCCCCTGCGCCCCCTCCCTGGAGGCTGCCCGTGGGCCCTGTCCCCCGTCCCAGACTGCCGAGGCTTCCGAAGCGGCTCTCCTCAGGAAACAAAGCTGGAGCCCGTCTGCGCGCCGCAGGCCTCTGCATGCTCTCCTGTCTGCATCTTTCACTGACCAGCATTTCTGGGTGTATCAGTAGGTATAGATCCGCCCAATTCTTTTCAACAACAGCAAACTGATAATAAGAAGAACTTGTACTTGCTATACATGG